GGAAAAATTATTGAATTAGCCACAAAATAATTTTTTTATTGTGGTTAAAAAAAAGCATAACATAAAAATTACTATCTTAACCACTTTTAAGTGTACAGTTCAGTAGTGTTAACTATATTCACGTTGTGCAACAGATCTCTAGAACTTTTTCATCTTGCAAAACTGAAACTGTCCCCATTAAACACTAATTCTCCCTTCCCCCACCACACACCCTTTGGCAGCCACCTTTCTACTTTCTGTTTCTGTGATTTTGACTACTATGTACTTCATATGAATGGACTCATACAGTATTTATCCCTTTATAACTGGCCTTTTTCCTTAGCATACTGCCCTTGAGGTTCATCCACATTGTAGCATGTGACAGGGTGTCCCTTTTTAGGGCTGCATAATAGTCCGCTGTATATACCACATTTCCTTTATGCATTCATCATTGATGAATATTTCCACCTAGCAAAAACAGTTTTAAAAATGTGGTTACAACTTAATTTATATCAGAGTCAAAAACTCCTTCTCTTTGAAAACACGAACCAAACCCTCTTTATTACTGTCCTGATTGTTATCTAAATCAGTTTTCGGTGAGCATTCGGGGTTGAGGTTAGTTGTGCCAGACTCTTGAATTTTAGGATGTTTTGGCAGCTCCACCCCTAAAAGCCAGTACCATCCTTCCCACAACCAAAAATGCCTTCCACATTTCTTGCCCCTTAAGGGGATCTGATACCATTCCTGATATTAATTTCACTTCTAAGAAACCTTCAGTATAAAGCTGCTTATTGGAACTTGTCATAAATATATTTTTCCCACTTTATTTATCATTTGTGATGAAAAACAGCCAGTTTATAGACCTTTTGTTTTTATACCAGTTAATTTTAGAAAGTTGCGATGATTGTTTTTTCTTTTATTCAGACCAGGAAGGAAATTACCTTAATATTTTTTTTATTTGACCAGGACACTTTAATTGTCAGATGTTCCTGTACATGTCAGTGAGCAAGTGGCTCAGTTGGTGTTGCTTATGCCTTAGCAGAGACACTCAACGTGTTGCATGGTCTAATGGCTCTTTCTCCTAAGCATTCCCTCCCCCTCCCCCTCCCCCTCAGCACTCCTATAGGAAGCCTGTTGATGGCACTTCAGAAGTACTGTGGTGAGACAGTTCAGGAGAGAAGACAGAAGGATCGAAAAGCACTCCAGGAGCTGAAACTGGAAGAGCGGTAAGGAGCGCACATTAGGATCAGGGTTTCTGACTTCCCTGTCTGCAGGCTATGGTGCTCTCTGAAACTAAGGACTGTAAATTGCCACTCAATTCAAAGAAGAGTTTCTTTTTACCTTCACTTTGTACCCACCCTGGTCTTTTAATCTTTTTAATTAAGGAGAATGGAACAATGAAAGACACTGAGAATCTTTCCTTAGATACATTTCTTTTAAAAGTTAAAATGTTGTAAATCTCATTTAGTTGCCTATTTTTTCTTTTCCTATGTTCTCGGTTGCATAGGAAATAAGTTTCCTTTACTTGGCTTTATTTAAAGATGATCTCCTTGTTTACACACACATCTATGAACACTACAGAGCATGTTAGGCCTCCACATTCAAAGATTCTACTTCTTGATGTGGATGCATAGGAATTCAGCAGATACAGTGGCTGTTCATGGACTGGATGCCACTGAGAAGGATGTAAACTGTCACCTGTTCATCTAGTCACTCCCTGAGGTCCAGTGATAGCGGACTTTGTGCTACTTCTTTGTAAGAGCATCATAATAGGCTGTCATCTAGTGCTTTGGTACAAATGATTCTCATAGTTCTGCTTTCTGGCCGCTAAGATGACATCTGCTGCTACTGCTGCTTTGATAGTTGAATAGGTAAGTGGTCTTTTTCCCATATTTTTACTTGAAACTTCCATTTGTGCTAAACACATACATACACACATACACGAAAATTCTTAATATCTGAATATCTCTTGTCCAAGGACTTAGGTGCTATAGGAGAAAGAGCATTGATTTTGGAGCCAATGAAACCTTGAAAACAAAGCTTACATCCCAGCTAGACTATTAATTAATTTTATAACCTTAGATGTTTTCCTTAACTTTAAGCCCTCAGCTGTTCAAAAGGCAGAATCACACCACAATATTCAACATATGTTTGTTTCACACCTTCCTCTTCTCCATAGTAAGAGAGTGAGTGAGAGATGCAGCTGTCTAGGTTCTAGGATAAAGCACTTGAAATTCTGAATGCCAGCATAAAATTTGATATTATGGAGAATTAAAAGCCTGAAAGCGTTAGCTTATTTCTAATTCGTTAGGTGTCATAAGACTTCTTTTTTAAAAAGGAAGCTTTGAGAAAGGAATTGGAAAGGTGTAAGGAAAGTATATTGGTTATTTGAATCTGATATAGGAAGTTATAGAAAATTGACATTTGGAAAAATATGAACAAATAATAATTGTATTCCAATCAGGAAAAAGAAAACAAACAAACAAACAAAAAAAACAAAACAAAACTAGAGAAGTCAGTTATCTAGCAATGGAAAGCCTCAAGAAAGTGTAAAAACAATAACTTGAACTATAGAAATGGAAGAATATTTTGGCAGAAGAAAATAGTGTCAAAAGTATATAGGTTATTTAAATTTATGTGGAATTCTGAGGAGAGTTAATAAATAAAGAACTTTTTATATGTCTGCTTCTTTGCGTGAAAATAACTACAGTATAGAGAAATCAAAATGAGAATCTAAAAAGTTGCCATAGTGAGGAGAAAATATAGAACACTGACTGTAGAGATATGGAAAAAGAAATGGTCAAATCTGGCTCTGAAGAGTTGAGAAGAAAGTCACAGGTGACCCTGATAACCACTTAAAGAAAGGAAGACAATAATACTTGACTTGGAAAAAGAACTGATTTGGAAATTGATTTTAACTCCTAGTAAACATACATCTGTAGTGTTGTCTTATCTGACTTCTGTACCGAGATTTTCAATGTTACAACCTTTGTGCATGTCCTACAAAGTCTGTCAACAGAGTTTTAACAGAGTGGTGGGGGATTTCCCTGGGCCCTGGGGCCTGAGGACAAAAGGACAGTCTTGTTTCAAGGCTCACACCTTAGTTCAGGGTGTTTTAGTAACTGCATGTCACCTCAGAGAGCTCTGGAATATCTTCAGGATCAGGGCTGCTGCCCCAGCAATGTCCATTTTGGTAATGTAAGAATCTTAGTTGGCTTGCGAGTGGAATAGATTGGGAGAGAGAAGAAAGTCATTGTATTTAAAGTGTAAGGAGCAGTGTTTGCTAATAAGTTGTAGGAGAGAATGAGATAAATACTATCTTAAAAAATAAACTCTCTAAGAACTAAAGAAATGGAGCAGTACTTGATACATACTTTTCATTCTTTGATTACAGGAAAGCCAGAATACAATTTACTGAGCTCCTCCCTGAAGAAATTGAAAGTAGTTTACAGAAAAATCAACCCAAGGATGATGCTAAGAAAATTGAAGCACTGCTAAATCTTCCTCGAAACCCTTCTTCGACAAATAAGCAAGACAAGGACTAAAAATGCTCTGGAGTTAAAACTCATTGGAGAGTTGAAGGGAGCTATGTTGCCATGTCCTTTGAATGCCAGCTGGTCGGGCTGCTGACAGATGTAAGCACTGGCATCTGGAGTGGCAATGCCGTGCTTTTACCTTTTTCTTTTTAACCAAGAGTTGGACTATTGTACTCTAACTTTACTCTTCCTTAAATTTAAATACATATTTATATCTGTATATTTGACATTGTATTGATTGATCAGTATAGATCTCTTTTCCCTGAGTGTTTCAACAGTAAATTTAAAATCTCCCAGAAGATCACAGTTGAATTCTACGGTTGTAAATTTATTCCTGTAGTCCTCCAAAAGGGTACTGTAGGGATGACTAGGAGGAGGAAAGGAAAGAACCAGGTGAGGCAAATGGCAAGTGAAACTCTTGTGCCCTTGGTCCTAGAAACAGTAAGGGCCTAATTGTATAGTAGTGTTTTTTTTTAATAAAAATCAAAGATGGTTTCTATGCCATTTGAAAGAAAATAAAACTTAACAAAAAGGAAGTAGGTAAACATTATTAAAGAAACACTCAGACCTTGTTTCCTCTCTCAGTATTGCAGACCAAGTATCTCTGCTGTAGCATGCAAGAGTGACTCAGAATAGATACCCAGTCTCTGCACTCCGGGAGCTTGCTGCCCAGAGGAGGCTGCCCTGCAGATGGTAACATTGGAATGACTGAAAAAGGTGTCCTGAGGGAAAAACTGCTCGTGCTTTGTTTGGGATTAGTCTCTTAGTTCCTACTCTGAAAATACTGTTGTTCACATGAGCAGTGTTTGGGAAGCAGCCTGGAGTAGTGGCTAAAACTGTGGGCTCTGGAGGCAGAACCACTGGCCTGGAATGTCAGCCCTGTGGCTTCACAGCCAGGTGACCTACAGCAGAGCCATTTGACTTTGAATCTCAAGTTTTCTCATGTCAATTGAGACAGCATCTGCCTCAGAATGGTCATTAAATGAAATGATGTGTGTAATGCATAGTGCAATGCTGTGGGACACAGGGCATCATCTGATAACACGTATCAGCAGTTAAAAGGATATGAGAACTGGCAGGGAGAATCTAGCTCAGTGGTAGAGTGCACACTTAGCATACATGAGGTCCTGGGTTCAAATCCCCTGTACTTCCTCTAAAATAAATAACCCTAATACTTCCCCCTACTTCCCCAAAACAACAAAAAGGATATGAAAACCTTTGTGCTAGTATGTTTTCACCATGATTTACGTATTATTGCCACACTCCACAAAGCATCCCATTCATAAATTGCTGACAGATTGGCAATTAGTCAATCTGTTTATTGTTTTATTCACATATAGATTAAATCCTTCAGCTACAAATTAAAAAATATGATGGTTGTAAAATTATTCATATCACAAAAATTTCAGAATGAAAGTAAAATACAACTCTTTGAAAAAATATTAAATTTTATTTAATAGTTTTTATAATTTATTTCATAGGTTGTTTTTTAGATTTGTACTGTTTTGTAGTGAATTTTTAAGAACTTTTGATCATGTCCAAGGATTGTACTGACTTAACTAAATGCAGCAATTCCTGGATTTTTCTTGTTATTTGTTTCTTTGCTTTAAGATCTTGTCAATTCACTACCTTTATTTTCTAAAGTAATTTTGTTCTGGGTACAGCCTGTCTCTTAGACTATATAGCATAATTTAATCTATTGTTTAATTTTTGGAGCGGGAACATCATTTATTTTTGTCCCTAGAGGTATTATATTTTTGAATTTTCAAAAGCTACACTGTACCTCAGTTACAGGGTGGTGGTCCACAATTAGATTTCTTTGTGCTTCTAGGTCTAGGTTGCACTGTGGGCTTAGGCCCAAGTGGAGTTGGGTGATCTCCCACTAGATCAGTACCATGGTGCCTCTGTACCCTGCACAATATTCCATTTCAATGGAGGGATCCTTAGAGGCTTTGTAGTGACAACATTTGGGCCACCCCTATAAAGAGGACTTGAGTCTGCTCTCTGCCAGCCTCTACTACCTACAGAGCACCTCAGGAGTTAAGCTGGTGGCCTTGGGGTCAGTCAGATGAGCTCTTCATGGATGATCTGTCTCATTTTAAATGAGAACTTTGTCATAAATACTTTACAAATGAGACTAAACTAGCATAAAGCCATTTAAGGAGATTATCAGTCCAATGTGAACCAGTAGAATGTAAACCATCCCTCTCCAATCTGACCGTTACTTTGATGTGTATAACTCATTCCTCTTACATGCCAGAGGAAATTGGTTTTAGCTGGATCTGCTTCCTCCTGAACCTGGTAGAGAAGTGGGAGAGCAACAATGAAAATGAACTGCTAACTAAACACCAGTAATATTTCCATTATCCTCATTTGGTGTGCACACCACATACTTCCCACACATTCGCATTAGGTTGCTTTTAACAAAATAGCATCCTTCTCCAGTCCTGCATCAGATCATCTCTGAAGCTGACCTTGATGATGGTAAGTTTCTGTTTCCAGAAGCACTATGACTGGTGTGTGTGTATACACACACACCAGTTAATAGCACAGAGATGGATTGATGAAGGAAAAGCACCAGAGCCAGGAAATCTAAGTTCTAGCCCTGGTCTTTACAATTCAAGTTACCTCCCAGGACTCCGATATCCTTGTCATTAGTAAAACTAGTATTCACAAATGTCTCTTCCAGGTCTAAGGAATTCTGTTTTCAAATCCTTGGTCAGAGTCACCAGATCTACTTCTGACCCCACCATATTCCTCTGATCACTTTCTGCAAAGCCACTGGTACGAAGAGGCTCCCAGAGAACAGGTACATGAAGGGCGAGATGCAATAATCTTGGTCATTTGAGGAAATTCAAGAAGAGGTCAATCTCAGATGGAGGTGGGACCTGAAGAAAACATTTAAAGTTTTATATTTTTTATTGCTACTGTATTCCCAGATTGAGATGACATTATAGATATTAATCTTGAGGGCTAATGAACAGAAAGACAAGTCTAAATTACAAGTCTGACATTTTTACTACACGAAATATCAGGCAAATATTAAGCGCCAGCTATCACCAAACAACCAAATGTTATTGATCAGGGCACTCATCTGTATGTGGGGCAAACAAAGGTGTATCGGGCGTGATTGGCTATAATTTGGTAGAGAATATAAGACACAGCCCATGAAAATAAACCCAGGGTGGAGAGTAAAGTGCTAGGGGTGGCACTGCTCCAGCAGCAGAGGCAGAGCTTCTTGAACTGGTCAAGGGGGACACAGAAGGCTTGTGTAGAAGACTGGCTTCGTGGCTTCATTGTGAAGTATCAGCTGACTGAGCAGAAGACTTTTAAGACAGAAGTAAAGTCAGGGAAATGTGAGGTAATTGCAGAACTGAAGGGAATATCCTGGGAAGGGCTTCCTGAGGAATGAGCAAGAAGTTGATATGAAAAGAAAACAGGATAGGAAGCTAAGAGATTGCTATGGGGAAAATACAGGCTGCTTTGGTGTCATGAGAGGAGCCTGAGCTTGGTGTTCAGCTGGGGCCTGGTTTTGCTCCCTTTTGGCTATCTGACCTTAGGCAGGTCACTCAACCTCTGGGAGCCTTGGGTTTCCCTCCCATAAAACAGAAAGATCTTGCTCATAGAGACTGTTATAAGACTAAGATGAAATAATGTGTTTGTGAAACAGAACCTGTTCTGTAAGTTTCAGGTATTACATTTCATTTTCTTTTATGTTTAAAGGTAACTCTCCAGATTCTCGTTTTTGTTTTTTTTTTTATGTAGGTGTTACCCTAACTTTTGCAAGTCAAAACTGAACTGATTATGGATATTATAAACCACCCTGAACCTGATATCAGTCTCTTGGATTCTAATGTCCCAATGTTTCTGTTACCTGAAAGGACCTGGGGATTTTAGGATAGTGCAAAATTGATGTAAGTTGATAGTTTGACTTACAAAAGCTGATTCTGTGTTAGTTTCCCTTAACAGAAAGGACATTTCAGACCCTGGATAGTAATTACCCCATCATATGTAGAATCAGATCAAATCTAAAATCTTGGACATCACTTACTGACATCTAGTGTGTTTATGTGGAGCTTCTGAAAATTGTCATGTGAAAAACAATTGAAACAATTGAAACAACAGGATGTTTAGACTGAAGAAATCAACTGAATGTGGAAAGTTAAAAGTTCTAAAGCTTTTCCTGTAAACACGGGGGTCTTCTCTGAGTTTTTTAAATGACATGGAGAAGTAATTCTTTATGAAATTTGGCTCTGTGATTGAGTAGGTAGGATGACTCAATAAGAAGCAGAGAGACTAGTGACATGTTACTGAATTAGTACAGAGTGACCCCAGTCTGTGTCCATCAGTACAGCAGGTTACAGGGGAAAAGGAATGATCAGAATAAGGAGTTAACCCAGGAACAGTGCGTGTTTGAGAGATACTGAAAGACACTGAGTTAATGGACAACCAGAGAATATTTCAAGACAGCAAAATGGCACAGCAAAGGAAGAGGTTAAAATAAGCAAATTTTATGTGGGGAGAAAGGTGCCAACCATCTGTTTAGAATACTCTGAATGAGGATTTTGAGAAGGTGGTAGTAGATAAAAGTCTAAAATTTGGTACTGAGAGGAGGAAAACCCTGTGCCCCATCAGCCACAAGATCTCACACATCCCACATTGGTAGAGAAGAACTAAACAGGGCTACCTCCATGTGTTCTGGTCAGCCCGATCCTTCCACACGTCCTATGCAGACTGGAGAGAGCCTTTCCATTTCCAAGCTCTCCTCATTCCTCCTTCTCTCTCTCTGTCTTGCAGCAAGTCCTTGAAGACAAGCACAAGCACTAAGAATCTACATACGTCATTTTCCCTTAAGTCACACCCATATACTTCAGCTGACCTTTGATTGGCTTAGAACTAGAGCTGTGGTTCTCAAGCTGGGGTGATTTTCACCACCACCACCACCCCCCCAGGGGACATATGTAATGCTTAGAGACATCTTTGGTTGTCACAGCTGGAAGAAGAGGTGCTATTGGCATATGGTGAGTGGAGGCCAGGGATGCTGCTAAACAAACTACAATGCACAGAACAGCCCCCTAAAACAAAGAATTGCCCAGCCCTCAAAGTCAGTAGCACTAAGGATGAAAAACTGAACTAGAAGAGTAAGGCTGCACAGTCTGTGTTAGAAACATTCTTGAGCCCATCAGACCTCTTTGTTATCTGTGGGGTGAGTTCATAGCGAAGAGTAGTGACTTCCTTGAGCTTTGACATTTTTTGTGTGCTGAAAGTTGGGAAAATCAGCAGATGTTGTTCTTCCAGTTTTCTTTGCTCAGTGTACATGATTTCTAGTTCAAAAGAGGTTGGTGTTCCTTTGTGGTGACTATAGCCTTAGCCCTGCCCTAGTGTTCCTCTTCATTTACAGAGATTGAGGGTAGCATGTGTGCAAGGCCAAAAATTTAAATTCATAGGAAAAAAAAATCCTACATGTCTCTTCCTCAGCTACTCTTGATCTTTCTCCCAAAAATAAATTCTGAAGAGTTAAGAATTGGTAAAATCACCTGTGGCCATTTGGCTACTCAACAACATCTCATTAGTGCATTTTACCCTCCTCCAAGAAAATGATTCTCGCCCCTAAATTTTGTCATTCTGCCTTTCCTCCAATTACAAATCAAAGATTACATCACTTTGCATCAGATACATTTCAATTTAGTTAGCAAGCCTTGGTGTCCCTAAGAAAACATATAGCTACGGGGAAAATTAAAAGGGCTAAACTAGAATGTGTCTTGAGGGCAGTGATTTCTCATCTTTGTAACTCCAGTGCCTAGTAGAGTGCCAGGCACATAGCAGGTGTCCAAGAAATATCTGTCCAGTGAATGAACAGAATTTGCCAAGTAAAGGAGACAGTAAGTTTCCATAGATTTACTCCAAAAATGAGAATGAAATAGGCTAAAACCTCAGACAGATGCTGACCCTTACTGATAGAGGGCATCCAGGAATTGAGATTGTTAGGACAGTACAATATTACTTACTGCAGAACAGCCATGCTAGTCCTAGTATTAGTGCAATGATCAGAGATGCTGAGATCGGGATAATAATGGCCCAGGGCAGGAGCTGATTAGCGGACGGGGCTGGTTTGGCTGCTGAGGGAAAAGAATAGTGTCAGCTCTAATGTGTTTCCAACTGCCTGATACCCATTCTGTGACCTTATATTGACACAACTGTAAAGCATTTTCCCCTTCTCTGCCTGGTTAGCTCCCCTAAATGCAGCTTTTGGGATTTTTCTTGCATAATTCTTTAATCAGACACATGCTTATGGGCAACTAATACCAGCTGTCAGATATTGAATGTGAAAAAGAAAATTTGAACTTTTGCGTTTACTGAGTTAAGTTGGCATAAAAAAAGATACTCAGGAGATACTTTAAAAGCTATCTTGTCTTCATCTCTCATTTCTATAGCTGATATTACTATGTATCACTACTCATAGTTGATGTGTTCTAGGTAGATCTTATTTTTCCTTCTCCAGCTCTGTCATGCCTTCTCCCTTTTAGTCTGTAGTCTTAACACACACACACCTCACAGTGGCTGTCTAAAGCTACAGGAGCCACTTTGCATTCATTTTCAGATACACATTTTTCACCATCCAGCCTAGGGCTTCCAGAAAAATAGAAGAGACCCAGCAAAGAGCCAAGAGTGGGTGTGGCTTGGTAGTAGGTGGGGTCATCCTGGAGGAGGGATCCGCAAACCAGCTATCAGCTGTAAAACACAGGGAACAGAGAAGACGGGGGACACAGGGAAGGATGTGGATGCCTATGGGAGTAGGAACTGCTGTCAGTCCCTCCTGGTCGGGAGCAGCAGCTCCACCATTTATTCTTCAACCCCTTTGAAGAATAGTTAGCAACAACATCCGGAGAAAGGGCAGAGACACAAAAGGAATATCAGCAGCTCATCCTCTTCTGATTTCTTTTGAATGGCTTACAAATCAATATTGAACATTTGCTAAAGTGCCATCTCCCATTTTTCTGATTACAAGGCTTATGGATAAATTTTGGTCTTTAGCTTTTGGGACCCCATCAGCATTTGGCCCAGCTGACACTCTTCCTCATGGGATTTCTATGACACCACATTCTTCAGTTTCTGTTAGGCTGTTCTTCCTCTGCTTGTTGTTTAAATATTGTTGTTCCCATGGTCCCATTCTCCTCTCACTGGCCCCTAGTAATCATCCATACCCAAGACTGGAAACACGAGCTGATTTCTAAATCTGTATGTCATAATCCTGATTTCATTTCTGAGCTCCAAATTTGCATTTCCAGCCACCGACTAGATGGGTGGATGCCAGCATCTTCACCTCATTAAAACTGAACTCAGTATATGTATTCTTTCTAGAGCATATCTACCACCTGCTTTCTCCCATTTCAGTGAATGGCAACACCATTAGTGACCCAAATAAAAGTGAAGGCTTGCCTTTGTGCTCACTGCCCCGAAGCTCCCCCTGACTTTCTATTCTGTATTGAGAATATCTCTTCAATTGATTCCTTTTCTCCAGATCTCTTGCAGCAACTGCCTTAGTTCAGGTTTTGCTCATCTCCCACCTAGTAGCCTCCATACTTTGGTCTCTTTGCCTCTGGTTTTCTAGGCTTTAATAATTTCTACACATTCTGCCACATAATCATTATAAAATGTACATTTGATCATAGAGCACCTACTCCCTAGAAACTAGGGAAAGTTGTTTTCTTATTTTTCCTCTAAAACACCAGATCGAATGGAGACATCGAGTGATTACCAGGGTTGGCCTCTGCAGACCAGGATAACACCCAAAATAACAAGGAAGCTTTTGCTATTATCCTGGGAGTCTAGACATTTCAAAGGTTCTGACTCACTCCTGGCTTCCTCTCAGAGGCCACTTCTCATCCACCTTCAATGCTCCCTCAGCCTAGAAAGAAGGTATGTGCTTAAGGGCAAGAAGAAGGAACCAGCAGCAACCCCGTTCTATCATAATGCCTGTTAGGAACTTGGCAATGGGCCACAGGCAGACCCAGAATCCCAAGGGCATAGTCATGTAAGGACATCTGCACGTATAGCTCTTTAGACAGTCTGAGTGGGCCTCCCTGATTCACCCCTTACACGCACGCGCACACATACACACCTTCTAGTGTATCAAGGGTTAAGTAACTGGGCAGACCCAGACTAAAAGAATGATAGACCCAGTCTGCTTAATTAATAAATTTAGAGTTGTTTAAGAGTAGGTATTTCTATAGTAAAGCTTTACTCACATTGATAAAACATTTCTATGAACTATGCTCCTAATTTACATTTGCTTATGCAGTCAGCCCTTGACCCCCGCCAAATGCATTATTTGCTTTTGACTATAAATGACACCTGCAGTCCAAATTATGAGATTTGAAGTATTTAAAGCTCTCTGGCCATAAAGACAACACTGGCACCTAGCAAGATACTTGGTATGTGATAACTAATAAAGACTAGATTAAAGAAGGAATGATTAAACACATACTGTTAATTACCTCTCATTAGTCATTGTGAATGTAGACCAAGTGGGGCAAAGAGCTAGTATTCTGAATTAGACTGAAAAGGGATATTGCTCATCCTTAGCATGAAGGAAGAGAGAAGGCATATGAGGGAAAAGATGATAAAACTGGCTGTCTAAATCACCTTTAAATAATAGCTCCATCTTTTTATTTAAAGGACTACATTCTATTCCCTGTAAGTTAACAAACTACAGTGTTAACCTGGCCAAGCCAGGACTACTACTTAATTTTTTAAGCAAAATTCTGCTGGAACACAGCCATGTCCTTCATTTTTGTTCTGTCTGTGGCTGCTTTCATGCCGTAACAGCAGGACTGAGTTGTTGCCAGAGACCATATGACCTGTAAAGGCTACGATATTTACTGTCTGGCCCTTTTCTAAAAATTTTTGTCAACCTTTGTCCTAGAAGATCATATATACTCATATTCCAAATATAAATAATATCCAAAATAAACATATAATTGAGGCTGCTTTTACCAATTTGCATACTACTCTCTACCTTAGTCACGATAATCTAAAATTGGTTAAATAATGATATTATCAATAAGGTGACAAGTACTGCTGAATTAATAAACTAGCTTCACTATATGATTCAAACTTCAATTTTGTAAATTTTTTAGAATACATAAAAAATGATAGAGATGAATTTGGATTATTAATAAAATCATGTCAAAATTTGGTTTGTAGTTGAACTAATTTTCCCCTCAGAGTTTATCTCATTACCTATTGAGGAAAATAAAGAATCCACTCCAGATTGAAAGATCTAGAGCAAATCATTCACTAGGATGAACTACTAGGCCATCTAAAATACCTCCTCTGCTACAAGCAAAGATAAGAGGAAGATGTATTTTACATAATAAGTTATGTTTGATGTATTGCTTTTTACTATGCAGCCACATAACACATTGTTAGAAGTGGGGCTCAGGGGTGGGGAGAGGCCTGGTGGTCCTCCATATAAGCAGCCAAACAAGTTAGAAATGTATTTCGAGTATCTGAGTTCTTCTGTAATAACCCATTATGGGTTTAATATGCATAAATTTACATAATCCCAACTTTTTTCATTTTATATTTTCAGATGATTTTACCTCTGGGGAAAGAAAATTCTGTAAGTATACTACTTGTAGGGTAAAACATTTGGTGTTGGTATTTGATCAAAAATGACCACTTTTTGAAAAAATTGTGCTCTACACTGGAATTTGACACAAAATTGTAAAATGAATGTAACTCAATTAAAAAATGTTTTTTAAAAAATGACCACTTTTTTCAGGCATTGTCCCCAAGTAGTTTGTCTTTCACCTTCTTTACGAGACTTGTTCTGAATGAACCAGTAGTTCTTAAAAGGCACATTCACCCACAGAAGACAATGATTTAACATCATGGGACCGTGGGGAGGGGGCCCCCAAAATAAAAGTGCCAAAGCCCAGAGAGCATTCAAAGAAGGTCACATTTTAGTTCTTTCAATAAAAATAATACTGTTTTAATAACTTCCTAAGATGATAACTTGATGGATAGCACTTATTTGGATTTCTAAATTTTAGAATGTTTATTAAAGAAAAGAAAATTAGTCTATTAACATTATAGTCAGACCTTGTGTGGTGACCTTAAGTCATAGTAACTCTTTATTATCATTTTATTTATGTGTCTAAAAATACTATGAGTCAATATGCTCAATTCTGAAATGTATCTGGCTGACTCATTTTAGATTCTACACAGCAGAAACTCCCTAGGACAATGTCACTTACATTTCTGCCAGTTGAAGGTCTGTGACACTGTTAAGTCTCCATACTTGACAAGACACATGAAGCTGTGGTTCCTTGTCACATTGAAATCCAGTTCACTGCTAATCGTGTAGAGCTCAGTTTCAGGATCTTGGGCAAGTGTTGTGTAGGTAGCGTTTAATTCTTCTCCATTTTCCAACCAGGAGAGGTGAGGCTCTGGAAACCCTCCAGAGGTTGAGCAGATTATCCTTCTGATGTCAGGAGATGGATTTCCGAGGTCACTAATACTAGGGGCAGGGAAGTCAGCTGGAGAAGGAACAAGGATGTAAGTACATTATCATTACGTGTTTGTGTGTATGTGTTTATATTTTTAATAAATACTTAGCTTTAATAAGAACAATAAAATGTAATTTGCAACTTCCCATAAGTCATTAATAGTTAGGTATAATCCAAAGACTAGTTTTAGTTTGAATTGGTTATATCAATTCTTCATCACTTTTGTGGAGGTAGGAGGGCACTTATTAAAGCAAGAAGTAGGTTCCTGTGTAAATATTGACATAGTACTTGCATTTGTAAGGAAGGGGTGGAATTAAAAATAAGAGACAGCAATTATTGAGTTCTTAATATTTGTTAGGTCTGGACATTATCTCATTTCATCTTTACAACAACCCTAGTAGGTTGTAGATTCAAAAAGGTTATATGTCAGTCATTACATATGATTTAACCTAATAAAATCTCCATTTTCTAAATAATCAAATGAGGTCTAGAGAAATCACAACCAATAAGTGGCAGAACTGGGATTTGTGTTCAAGTTTCTCTGATACTAGAACCTCCCCTTCCCCTGCCTTCTTTTCTTTTCCTTTCATTTCTTTCTTTTCCTTTTTTTCTTCCCTTTCTTCCTAGTATTTGAGGTATACAAGGTGGCTCTCTTTAATTTATCTATGTATTAACTCGCACTGTACTAAACACCTGAGAACCCACTATCCCACTTGAGAACCGGAACACTGACAGCAGGTTATGTAAACCTGCTCGTTCCGTCTTTGCCTTGTTGTCCTCCCACCTCCCACACCTGTGGTAACACTATTCTAAATTTTGTTTAGCATTATCTTACTTTTTCAAAAGTAGTCTTTAATCAGATAAACTTCTGTCCAAATTGTACACCGTTGAACCTGTAATCTCAACCATTGTACTTTACAGATTCCCTTGCTGTTCTGAAATGGCTCACAATGACAGAGAGGCCTTCCTAATATTCCTCCAAGGCACTCGAGGCTCTCTTTCATTTGTGTATTCGACCCCCAATCAGATGCTAAAGTATACACCAAGCAGAGCACAGTGAAATGACTGCAGTGAACACAGGAGAAAACTCCCCTCACCTCTTCCTCATTTAGTGTTAGGCTTAAAGAATTTATTCTTCTTAACATGACTGTGGGGAACCAATCCCTCTATACTTCATCTCATGTACTTGGTTTTCTTCTCAGAATTTAGAGTCTCACAGAGAGTTGTAGTCTAGCATAGTGGTCATCGAGAGCAGGTTTTAAAACCAGTTTTGCCTTTTAATTCTGGGCCTGTTACTTAACCACTTTCAGTCCTAGTTTGCTCATCTGTAAGATAAGGGTAATACAACTTGCCTCCCAGTGTTGTAAGAATTTCATGACATCATTAATGTGTATCACACAGAACAGAGTCTGACACACAGGAAATTAGTTCATAGACCAATGTGTGTCTTAAATTTTTCCTCTCTTAGATGAGTTTCCTCATTTAGGTCAAGTTGCCAGATGAAAGTTTCCAGGACTGCGTGGTGGCACCGTGAGGAAAAAGGGGAAGAGGAAGTTATGACAGGTTATTATAATTGCCAGGAAAAGGAAAAACTTGGATTTGGTTGGGGATAGACTCACCTTTCTTTTTCGTACTAACTCTGTTCCTAAATTAAGTTTGACATTTTCCTGAGGTATTTTTAGCTGACATTGTTATTTCCTACTTCCTATTTCCCATTAATTTATCCTATCAGACCAAATCATTACACGGGCAGCTGACATCAGGAATATTCTTTGTTTCTTATAACACCAATATGTCATGTTGTAACTTGGAATAACAAATCCAGGTAACTCATATCCTAATTATGATTTGTGTCCATTTCTACGCTTTGCTTTTCCAAAAAACATTTAACCACAAGAATGCTACAATATCAAGGGTTGTATTAAAAAATCATCTTTTAAACTCCGTCTCCCCCCGCTTCTATAAGGTGATCTGTTTAGAGTAACATCTCCTAAGGCCTTGCAAGACTGTGAACCATTAAAGAATTACTCCTTTGTGTCTCATTTTTCCCAGTTTTCACCACCCTTAATGGGTAGAGTAAGAATATCTTATTAGGAAAGGAAAAGGTGCATATGCTTTAGAAAGGTAAAACTCCATTAACCTAGTTAATCTGATAACTAGTATAGCTAGTTCTCAAATGTGTTACTTAGTGGAGGCTTCATCTATTGAGCTATTATATCATTTAGCAATCTTAGGCAAATGTAGAGAAACCAACTTGTCCCAGTTAGCCTAGACTTTCCTAGTATTAGCACTGAAAATCTCATGTCTGAGGAAACCCCTCAGTCCCTGGCAGAATGGGACATTTGGTCACTTTGGCCAAATGAGAGCTTGTTTAATGTCTTGCTTCTCAAGCTGTGATCCTCAGCAGCTGCAAGGCATCACCAGGGAGCTTGTTAGAAATGTCAGACCTGCTGAATTTGAATCTGCATTTTAACCAGATCCCCAAGTCACATGCACCTGATCATTTGAGAAGCACGATTTTCATTGTCTCAATTAGAAAAACCAGAATTGGTTCTTGGTCTAATTAAGCAAGCAGAGTTTCTCTTTTTGTCTTCCCCTACTTGATTTTGGTGCCCCACTCCCCTTTCTAAGGCCCTCAACACTCGCATGTTGCCCCTTGGCTGTCCTTGGTTGCCTACTCTAATCTGCTACCGGGGCCTGCCCTCCCTGAAACTCTGCCTCTTCTCCCTCTTGAGTTTTCTTCTCTACATTTCTATCAAAATGTGTCCTGAGTCTCCTTCTCTCTGGATATTATGTTAGAGGACTGACTATGTATCTAATGTAATTAATTAATACAGGCTAATATGTCTGTGGTGCCATCTCCCCTAGGGAACACATTTTCATTTTTAACAGGGGTCTCACAGCGGGGGGAAAATGCTAAAACTAGCAGGAGAAGCTTTAATAGTGGGAATTCCAGGAATCGATGCAGGTCAGAATTTTGGAGGAGGCAGTCTTCTTAGAGCCCCACAAATCCCACCACCAGATAATCATTTGCTCTCCCCATGGGTAGGGAATACACAGAGTGAAGTTTAAGATAATTCCATGAAACTTTGGTGTACCTCCTAAGCTTTAGGTATGACCTGAATGCTACCGCTAAAGATTCAACATAGCTTAAGACCAAAGCAGGGAAGAACGGTGAAGAATCCATTGGGGAGTCACTTAAGTTATCAAGGTTAATCCTTCCATTTCATTAAAAGGTTTCGTTTCCACTAAAGGCTTAAGGGCGCAGGAAGAGAAAGAAATGTGTTTGAATTTTAAAGTGTGAGGGAATGGCCCAGGGCTGTCATTTCTCGGCAGGAAGAGAAAGAAATGTGTTTGAATTTTAAGTGTGAGGGAATGGCCCAGGGCTGTCATTTCTCAGCAAGGGCTCAGCCTATATCAGTATCCTCTTTCAGTATCACCGGTGATTAAGTCAAGGCTTCTTCCTACCCTGCCCTTTAATAACACTTCTTTAATATCTAACTTTGTAAAACTGACCATTAGACTAGAGCTTCAAAGGTACAATAAATATAATAGTACAATAGCCAGAGCAATAGGCATTCAAATACTATTTGAAAAATATTTATGCCTGCATTGCTCTTGTACCTTTCAACATACTTTGCAAGAATATATTACTGGATCAAGTGCAGTTAGTAGGACAGCCCCATCACATCAGATGTGTCCCTTTATGATTCAGAAGGCACTTCAAGTCATTATCATGCATGCCCCAGGATCCCTGTCACGAACTTGGATTGTCAAAGTGCAGGAAATGCAGCTAATAGCTATTTCCAGCTAGGGTTTACTGTAAAACTGGAGACTCAACCCTAAGAAATGAAGTGAGACACATCCCTCTTTGGTAGACTTTCCACCTAAATCAACAGGAGTACGTCTTTAAGGGCATCAAGAATCTGCTAGCTTATCATAAATCAGAAAATCCCACTGACCTCTGACCAATAACTTCACCGAAGTGAGGTGCTCCAGTCTGTAAGTCCCTTGCTCAGGCTTCTGAATGACACAGGTATAGGTGCCTTTGTCTGACAGGCGCAGAGCCAGGATCACAATGCAGAGGTTACTGGTGAAGTCAGTGAAGGTGCGGTTCTCATACTCAGGCCACACTTTCACTTTTCCAGACATGACCGCCAGCACCATTTCATTATCTTTTTGCCAATAGATGCGAACTTTTGTCAGTTCTTCAGTGGATATGTTGTAATCACAAGATAGCACTGCTATTTCTTTCACTGTTTTGGTCACCTGCATGATGCCTATGGAGAGGCAAACAGAACAAAATTTTATGCCTGTTAAACATAGATGCCTGCACAAGCAGGAATTCGGAGTGGACAGTAACAGAATTCAGAGGGTTGCATATAGTGACTAAGCAGGATCAGAGTGTTCAGTTAGAGTTTGATATTTTTGGTCCCCAGTGCTTTTTTTGCCTCCATTTAAAAAATTGTGATTAAAAAATAATTTTACCATCTTAACCGTTTTTAAATGTACAGCTCAGTAGTGTCAAGTATATTCACACTGTTGTGAAACAGATCTCCAGACTTTTCCATCTTGCAGACTGGAACTCTATGTGCATTAAACAACCCCTCTTTCTCCCTCCCCCAGCCCCTGGTAACCACCACTCAACTTTCTGTTTCTGTGAATTTACCACTTTAAATACTGAATATAAGTGGAATCATACATACAGTATTTGTCTTTTTGTGACTGGCTTATTCCACTCAGCATAATACTATCCAGGTTCCTCTGTGTTTTACATGTGTCAGAATCTTCTTCCTTTTTAAGGAATAATAGTGATGATAATGACTAATATTCCATTGTATGTATATACCACATTTTCTTTATCCATTCGTTTGTCCATAGACAATGAAGGAGAAGGCGCTCTAGTCTCAAAAGAAGACCTAGCATATGAGTGCCAACTATGGGTTAGACAATGTACTCAGTCCTACAGGGATAGGGAAGTCATAGTTAAGGAATATGAGATTTTGAAGAGATTTCCCTGATCATTCATTTTGGTGGTCTTGTTTTACAGATGAGGAAACTAAACCCAGGAAAGGAAACTGCCCCAGTTTTACAGAGTACTTTTGGGGCCATTCTCCTTGTTTACTGGTTTCCCCAGTTTTAGGCCCGGTGCTAGGATAAGTAAGCCAGCACTAGTTGCACCCCAGCCCGGCCCCGTCACTGAGCTCTTTCGTTTTGAGAAAGAGTGCTTTTCCTTCCAGGCCTGGCTTGACCCCATGGCTTCAGGCTGAAATGACTCCCCTCATCCCCACCTGAAGGGGCCTCAGTTACACCTCTGGACCATTTCTGCCCTTTCTAGCTACCCTAAACAGATGGAGATCCTGTCTTTATCTCTCTTGGCTATCTGTAATCCATGCAACAGGTGCCCTACAACCTAGTTTTGCCAGAGAGTCCTCATTGAAAACATTTGCCCATTTTCCTGTCACCATATCACAGAAATATCAGCGTTTCGACATCCCAAGTCCATCTCTTTGTTAGCTCCTCAGTACTCATCAGTAACACCAAAATCCCTGTCAGACTATATTTTCTGATTTTTTTTTTTTTTTTTTGGTTTAGAAAGCATGGTTATTTTTCCTATGCTGTGCTTGACTGAAAAACAGAGTCCCTCTAAAGCTCCAGTGCTTTCACATCTGGCCACCCTCCTCCGTCCCCCAGTGGTATGATGCTGCCTCTTCCCCGCCACACAGAACCCCTCACTAGGATAGGGGTCTCATTTCCAAGCCCACTCTCCTCAGACAGCAGGGTCATGGACACTAGCACCTCTCCATCTCACCAGCCATTCTTCCAGCCTCCATCAGACTGGGTGTGGCTCCACCACAGCATTTAGGAAGAGAGTTTTGTGATGACAGGTTATTTCCACAGCAGTGTGAGGTACCTCAGAATGATTCAAAGCACCTCTTTTGACAATTGTGCTGAACGTTGCCAGCCCCAGATTTAGGAAATACAACTGAAAAGGAGGAAATAAATGATAAGATGCACTTGAGAGGAGCATATAATAGCTGAATAACCTGAACTATCTTTAAAAAGAGATACAATTTTTAAAAAAAGAGAGAGATACAATGAGAGCAAAATGATACATAGAAGGCACGTGGACTATGGCTGCCTCAGCCACTTGCTGATTAACCTGTTTACTCATCTGTACAAACGGTATGATGCCTACCTCTCAGGGTCATTGTAAAATTAAATTCAGATTAAGTGATATAAATGGAAAAGCCCCTAGTACATAGCAGGTCTTCCATAAGAGTTTCCGTTTCTCTCTTTCTTTTCTCTCACCCCTAGCTGGTACCCTCTGGTCTCTTTCTTCTCATTAGGGATTTTGTCAGACACATAGAACATGCTATGAGCCAGACAGACCCCATGACAGAAAGCAGCTCGCCCATCAGGGGTCCTAAATAACAGGGTCTTTGCTATGCTCTGTTCTCACCCGAAAAGAATCCAGGATTTCTAACCAATTTTGAAATGTGGTGACATTAGCAAAAAGAAATCTTAACTGAAAGTGAGCCAATTTCAGTGATGGTTCTTAAGGAGTTTTTGTCCAGCCATCTGAGAAGTGTGGGTGTTTTTCTAAAGGTCAGCGGGCTCTTCGATGTTCCTACGTGAGATCCCCTCAGCAGACGTTGGTGCTGAGGAAGAACCAGACTGAAAAGAGGAACCAAAAATCTTCTGGGCAATTCCCACCAGGACCTGGCTTCCATACTCAGGGACTCTGCTACACGCAGTACGAGTAAAAGCTGAAAGATTTCTGAAGGGTTTTGTCTGCTTCAGTGTTTCTGGAGGGGAAACTCAGGTCTGAGCACTCATTACTGCCTCTGTAGTTGAATTTTGAGCTTGCTGTGTCATTTTACAAACAGGCCTAGCAACACCTACCTAACAAAATGGGCTGAAGTTTCTGTGAGGGAATGGAGGCTGAACTGTACACAGTACCAGGCACATGGGGGGACTATCACACTCCCCAGACATCCACACGGTCCTGTCCCTTGCTTCCTTTGGGAAAGGTGTCCCCTTGTGGTGAGACCTCCTCTGACTCCCGCTAACAAGCACCATCCTCCCTGACCCCATCCATCCTGCCACTCATTAGTCCCTTGTCCTGATTTAGTTCTCGTCAAGCTTGTCTCCAGCTGCTGTATATCAACTGAAGTTACTTTGGGGTCATGAGAGCAGGGGCTTTATCTGTTTTGTTGCCACATCTGCAGAATCTAGAACAGGGCCTGGCTCATAGAAGAGGCTCCATAAATATTTGCTGAATGCCTGGCTAGGCCTTAGGAGATGAGATGTGGTTCCACCCGCTGTGTGTTAGAATCATAACCTTTAACAAGTTGATGAACCTCCTTGGGCTTCTGGTATAATTTATGCAAAATGTGCATAATACTATCTCCCCGACTTACTTCACATAATTACCACAGGGGTTGTGTAACAGCCAGATATAAAGTGTTTTGTGAACTGTAAAATGCGACACAGATTTTATTCATAGGGCTGTTCCTCTCAAGCAAAGCACCTGATGTGTTGAGTCATGCACAGGATGAGGTGAGAATCACTGCAGTAACTGGCTGACACTTGCACTGAGTCAAATGCTCCTAGCTGGTGTGGGCTGCCCATTGGCTGCCCCTGTCTCCTGCAGTCATAGATACCAGGGATGGGCGGGGAGAGGAGGACGGAAGGCAGAAACGGGAGGCGACTCTGCTCATCTCTCACGTGCATGTGTGCAAACTGCCCCACCCGCACGGCATTCTGGGTACACTTCACAACGTGAGTCCCCACCCCATACCCTTCCTGTCCCCTGACCATGTGAACTCCCCACTGATAACCCTCCCAGGAGAGGGAGCTTTTTGCCAAGAAGTGTAGAGGCCACTGGTTTTAGACAAATAATGCACCTCTCAAAATTCAATACAATGGGATATTATTCAACTAAAAAAAGGTATGAAGTACTGGTACTTACTGCAACATAAATGAACCCTGAAAACATTATGCCAAGTGAAAGAAGCCAGACACAAAAGGCCACATATTATATAACTCTGTTTGTAAGAAATGTCCAGAATACGCATATTCATGGAGATGGAAATTAGATTGGTGGTTACCAGGAGATAGGGCAGAGGGAAGTGGAGATGGACTGCTAACTGGTATGGAGTTTCTTTTAAAGAGCGATGGAAACGTTCTGAAATTAGATGTGGTGATGGTTTCATAACATTGTGATAATACTAAAAACCACTGAATTGTACACTTTAAAATGGTGAATTGTATGTCATTGCATTAAAAAAAACCCGAAAAACAAAAACCATGCAGGACAACTTGGTGATACAGTAAGAAAATTTAATGTATAGCTTTAAAAGAAAAAAGAACCCAATCTAGGAAGCCATGAGTCTCCCCTAATCCCTCCAAACTGGAGGAAGGCTGTGTGGACACAGTGGCCTGGCTGCAGTGCCTGTTCTATGGAGTGGAACCTCAACAGTAGTCGGTGGGCCTGCACCACCAGTTCTCCGAAAGTAGGGAGAATCACGTGTGAACAGCAGCTTGTATCACCGCGTGCTATGATTACATTATTTCCCTAAGGACTTAGATGTGCTGTTTAAAGGTTTTCCCTGACTCTAAAAGAAACACACATTAAATTTAGAAAGAATGAAAACTACAGAAAAAGCATAAAAGTCACCTATAATCCCACTACCTGGAGATTTACTGTTAATGGTCTGTGTGACCCTTAACACAATGGAAGTGACCTTTTTGGACACTTCTAACTGCTTTTGATTAAATGAACTGGCATCCTCAGGGCTAGTGTGGGCCCTGGGCTGGGTGCTGGGCACACCAGGAAGCTAAGAGGTGTCAGCTCTCCAGCATCTGGCAGATTTGAGACTCATCTCCTGATTTTTTCACATTGCTCCCAACTTTCTCTCCTCTGTAGACCCAGCCTATATGCTGTTTATAAATCTGATCCCTACTTCTGTGTGTCTCTCTAAATGGTGTATCTCTAAAGTGCCTGGGGATTTGAACAGCTTATATCACAGCAGTCACAGCAAGAACCGTGGCTTTTGGGACACCTTGGCCAGCAGCATTCCGACAGAGCTTACAGCAAGAGCAAGGCCCTGTGGACGGTGGCATTCTGAGGGCACTCTTCCTCCACCTCAGTGTTCCTCCTGCCATAGACCCACAGCCCAACATCTTTTCTGCATCCCTGGCCTGCTCCTACCAAAGCCTCCTCCCCTCTCCTAAGAGCTGCGTCACCCTGAAAGGACCCCAGTTCTGAGGAAGAGCTGCCCATGTTAGGACCCTTGGCCTGACAACCACTAGCTTCTGGAGTACATGAGCCCAGTGTTCAGCCTCCACAGACCAAACTAGAAGTGGAGAGCAACCCAGCAGGTCCCACCTCTGCAGGAAAGGGAGGTCCCCTGTCCTGGACAGCAGTGTGTAGAGACGGGTGGAAGTGCAGCTTCCCCACCCAGGGCAGGAGAGGAGGGCGTAGTGTGCAGATCCCCTGTCCTGGAACAAAGGCCTCCACAGTCGTCTCCACTCTCTGTACCCAGTCTTGTCTCCCACAGGCCATGCACAGTTCACACCTTCACTCCAGTCTGGCAAATCCTCACCAGTTCTGCATCATACACACTCTCCAACCCAACCATCTCCCCCCAACTCCACTTTTTTCATCAAAGCTATCATCAAATACTTGTAAGCTACTAAATGATTTTGGTACAATCACTCTGGCTGCACTACAAGCCATATTTTTATGCTTCAGCAACACCGTTTAAAAAAATGCCATTTAAAGCTTTACTACTAAAACTAAAGGTCTGTGGACCAGCGGCGTCAGACACCTGGGTGCTTGTTAGACATACAGAATCGCAGACCCCTCCCCAGACTCACCTAAGCAGAAACTGCATTTAAAAATATATATACAGACTTTATTTTTTCAGAGCAGTTTTAGGTTGACCGTAAACTGAACGTAGAGAGCAGAGAGGACCCATATACCCACTCCCCTCTATGCGCACAGCCTCCTCCACCATCAGCATCCTGCACCGGAGTGGTACATTTGTGCCAGTTGATGAACCTACACTGACACATCATCACCCAAATTCAAATTCCATGGTTTACATAGGGATCACTCTTGGCTCTGTACATTCAGTAGGTCTTGACAAATACATAATGACATATATCCACCATGCAGTATTTTCACTGTTCTAAAAAAATCTCCTGTGCTAGAAACTGCTTTTTAACAAGGCCCCCAGGTAATGGCATGTATAATTAAAGTGTGAGCAGCGCTGGTATAGACCATGTTACTCCCCTGCTTACAATCCTTCCGTAGCCTCCCTGTGCCTCCAAATAACATTCATATCCCTGGACTTCCAGCCCTACGGAGGAGTCTGGTCCCTGCCTCCCGGGGCCCTTCGGTACATAGCAGGTCTTCAGACAAAAGAAACTCATGGATTCCCTTGTTGACTCAATATAGCACAGTAGAATCCAGATGTAGATCTAGAACAACGTGCTTTCCTAAATATCTTTCTTTAGCCCAAAGCTCGTTTCTTTCCATTTGCCTCTGACTAATTGTCTTGGTATAAATGCTAAAGCCTTGATTTTAATTTTCTTTTTATACTTTCTTTTTTATGATTTCTCTCTCTCTTACACACACACACACACACACACACACACATTTTCTAGGAAGCCTATAAATTTTCTTCTAAATTTTTAAAAACTCATTTAGACTCCCCAAAAGACTCTAGACTGTGAGTGCTACCCCCAACTGCCCCCAACTTTCCAGAAGAAAACTAACTTGGAAATATAACTGTCAAATATATACAAAATTTGATGCGTAAATTGTGAAACTTGAGTCATGGTTCTCTTAGTTCAGCAACAGTGTAAGACAAGTTTTACAGCTTAGGACAGAAAATGTACAACTACCAGCAACGCAGTCTTCCCTTCCCTCCTTCACCCTCCCCAACACCTTAGTTATTCTGGGACATGGCTGCACTGCAGTGCAGACCTGTTTTAAGCAAGCAGCGCTTAAGGACCTTTGATATTTGCAGACCAGGAAACCGTGCTGGAGGCCTCCTCTTTGTTTTGGAGAAACCAGGTGGTATGCCGCTCAGCAAAAAGCAGACCTTTTGTTTGTTCTGACTTAAAAAAGTCAGAGCCACCCTGTCAACGGGATCAGCACTTCCCTTCCCAATAGGCCTCCAAGTCCAGCACCTGAGCTGGAACAAGAGTCTCTGGAAGTCAAAATATTCTTGAAACACCTATGTAGTAAGTTAGAAATAACTTAAAATATGATTTGTGCTAAATCTGATACCACTTAATGTCAGATGTTAGTGTTGACAAAGGGCATCGGCACCTGAAGCATAAAAATCAACATCAAGAGAAAATTTTAATATTAAGAAGGTTGTACTTCAGGACTTCTTTCTTTTCCCACTTCAAATTAGAAGAAGATCATCGTTGTTCAGTTTTAGAAGCAAAGACTAGCTGTGTTGTCTCATAGAAATACAGTTTGGGAATCAAAGCCGGAAACCACTGCCCTTATCATGCCACAAAATGTAAATGAACATCTAGTGTTCGTTGAAGAGACAGCAGCTCTAAGCTGTCCTTCTGAATCAGCTTCATGGTTTTGTTAAAATCATGCTGCCCCACCTTTCCTTTAAGTTCTGGGTTCTTGAGCTAACTTGGCCGCTGGCTTGCTATGCGATCAAGGGTGGGTCCTTTAACCTCTGTGTTTCCTCACCCCTAAAATGGACTGAAACGCCCTGAAGGTCCCTTCCCTCTCACAGGGCCACAGTAAGGGGCAGTGCAGAGAACACCATCTCCTTTCTCTAAACCCTGAAGCCGTGGACTCAGTCAAGTTCCTGGAAGGCGCTTACCTGAACAGAAGTAAAAGAGACCAGCCAGCACCAAGAGCTGAAAAAGCCTGAGGGATGGGCGCTTGGGTGGTGGAGTTCCCCACTTCAGTGTGTGACCCATGGCTTCTGCTGAGGAGGACGGAAAACCAAAGCAAATAATTTCAAGCCAAGTGAGAACTGAGCACCTCACAGTTAACACCCAGCAGAAGCAGAAGACAATTCAATTGCTCCACACAGAGGGTTCTCCTGTGATGTTTGCAGAACACACTGAGGAGAGGCTGGATGGTGTACTGGGTGTCCAAACTCCTGAGTATAAAAGATGGTGGATTTATATTCGCCACCTGAAAAAGAAGAAAATAAAGGTCACCCAGGAAGGAAGGCCAGCCTACCGGAGGTTGTAAAGCTTCTTATTTGACTTCCCTAAATGAGTCAGGGATCTTAATCTGAGCAACTTCTTAATCATGGTTCAGTCTCGAGGGAAAAACAAAAGTTAGCGGAGCTCTGTGGAAGGGATCCTGCCTGTGCATGTTCCGAGAACCAACCACAGCTCTCCCACTGCTGGATGGGATGATGAAATGCAGAGAACTCTAAGGGCCCTGGGTATCAGTGAGCCAACCCAGGAAAGCTCAGACCCTCTTCACATCATACCGAGAAGCACAAAGCATCAGGGCGGAAGCCATGGCGGGGGATTTTGTCCAAAGCAGTACTTAAGTTATGAAATAACTTTTCTTGGTATATTAACAGAGAAAAACAAGTGTCTCTGTTCTCACATGCTTCTACACAAAAATATGTCTTAAAGCAGTAGAGGATCTCAATCAACAGAAAAGTGTCAGTGAAAAGGGAAGAGAAAAGACATACAGAAAACATTACTTATTTACGTTGTGTATCGTAATGTGAGAAAGCTGGGGATTTTTGTTTGTTTTTGGGTTTTTTTAGTAAATATATCAAACTTAAGAAATAAAAGGGAAAGCTGTGCTCCCGTGTGATGCTCTCAGATTGCCACCACAGACATAGCCCAACACTACCCAGAGGATGTTTGGGACCCTCTTTGGAAACTACCCCAGAGCTAGATTCCCAGCTACACTGGATTGTTTTATCAGCCACACTCCATTTTAATCATGATTAGCTTGGATTCACTTACTCACCAGAATTTTTATTTATTTGGAAAACTCAAATTCAGCCTACAAAATTAATATTTGCTACCATCTAGGAAATTTAAAATAACGGGCCATAACTCTGATGATGAACCTCCACGTGTTTGGGGCCGCCTCAGCCTCCTCCGGGAATAAGACCTCCCAGATGGCTCTTTGAAGGGGAGAGTTTGTGTCTTGGAGGTAAGAGTGAACGCTGTGTTTGTTCAAAATGCCGTTGGGTTCTAGGTCTACCAAGTTCTACCAAGCTATACCATATTAAGATAATAGTAAGTGTACTTACTTGCTGAAGAACAATTCCTCTTTTTCTCGTGTTAAAAATCAAAGAATGAGGCCCCACTTCTGAGATGTTCTTTTCTCGCTGTCTCCAAAATAATGGGAAGTCACTCCGTTTTTCTTTGGGTGATATGTCACAGAGGTGGCATTTCCCCTTCCAACTTCCTTTTACTTGATGGAGAACTCTGATGTTCAGAAATACTTAAACCGGGGGATGAGCAAAGCGTCGTGTACTGTTTGAGGAAGCTCCCTCTGCTGTCCTATGTTGTCAGTTACCTCCAGATGGCACAGCAAACCACACAGCTGCCCTCCCTCACTGAGCACCAGCACTGCAGCAGTCTCAAGAGGAGAGGAAACTGCACAGGGCAGCCTGAGGGAGAGGGTGGAAAGGTGCCCCATAGTGGGCGGGGCTGGCCCATCAGCATCAGTGGTAGACAGTCTATGATGAGCCTTATCGGCTGGCTGTTTCTGTGCTGGTCTCAATTTTTGTTTTAGCACCAGAATTACCCCTCCCTAGTCATAGCCATGCCACTGCAGGAGTGAACCATCCATTTCATGTGCAGTGGACACTTTGGGGAGAGTGTTCGGCTCACAAAGGCACCCTTTCCTACCCTCTCAGCTCTCCACCACCACCCTGTTTGCAGAGTGGACTCCTGGCAGCCAAGTTGGACAGTGTATCCCAGTCACTCTAACCCCAGTGGAGTAACCCTCAGGTGAGCACAGTGACAGAGCCAAGGGGTGAGGTGAGGAAGATTTTAGTCCTTCTCTCCAGTTTCCAGCCAGCCTGCTACTCCCCTGTGTAGAATTCTAGAGCATTCCACTGGTCAGCAGCCAACCCACACTGGATCTCTTTCACACGGGGGAACCTGATAGCACCTTGTCTGTGCCTGCACCTTTCACAGTCTGCTTCTAGCTCTGGGGCTTTCTCTGCTGACTTGCCGTGGTATCCCCTTGGAAATTCTGCACTCAAGCATGTGCAGCTTGGAAATATAGGAGACTTAAAACCCAGGGAGTTCCTCTTGACCAAAATTGGCTGAAAGCTGACGGAGATCTGCTCTCACCTTTTGTCACCCAGGTAGAGAGTTGTGAAAGACATTTCATGAGGCTTTCCAGAAGGCCCTGGTGGGATGGAGTTGGTTGCCTATAGCAGAGGCCAGCGTGGTAAGGCACCCTTGTATTGGCTGTCCTTCCTTCCCTGT